TCATTCTTTCAAATGGACAAAACTGAGCAGAACGCAGCCCACTTTCAACTACTTGATTGCTGTTGCTTTTAAAAAGCCAAGCACCTGACTTCCGGTTACCACCATCCTGTGAGACTACTTGATATCGGGTTAATGCCTGAGTTTTGAGGGTTTCTTGAGTTAAAAAAAAAAAATGAATTACAAGACTACTATTCTTTTAAGGATCGTTGCATGTCCTTTATATTAAAAAGGGTAAAGTTTCAAAACTATTTCTCTCTCACACACACAGACACACACAGGAACACACACACACATGCACTCATGCACACACCAAAAGGCGTGAATTTTGCCTTGGAGAAAGCTAATCCTCTAGTCAGCTTTGTGGTCTCTTTCTCAAGTATTATCCCTTTGAGGAAACGGAGCAGTCCTTTAACTTGGGTGTGAAAGCTAGAAGAAAAATCCCTCGGATTTAGCAACTACAATAGAATACAACATCGTGCAGCTATAATCATAGTGTTAGCAAAAGTACCACTAGGTTGGGAAACAGAGAGTCAAAGTCCGCAGGTGCAGCGTAGTAGCTAATGCTAGTGCACAGATTTGCTACTTTTTGTTTGGGGAAAGGCAAGGGCTGCAAATGAGACTAATGGAGCCAAGGATTGTTTTAAGATACCTACTGAGTGTGGACTCACTAGAAGGACAAGGACCTCCAATATACTTGGGATAGCCCATCTCCTAATGGCTGTGAACTCATAGCCTAACTGCCAAGTCTGAGATCAAATGTGTCAATAATGTTCTGGAATCAGAAACTATACAAACAAATTTATGCTAGAGTATAGTTTCTGTTGCCGTCCACATTAGGGTCTGAGGATTTTAATCCTTAGCAAATAAACGTTCTGAGAACTATATCACTATTACTCTGCCCCCTTCTGGCTGACACCTGGCGTTAAAGATATGCAGCAGACTTCAAAATACAGAAGACAAGAACCTTGTAGTTCTATGATGACTACTTGCTCAACTTCAGCAGATTAGATTACACTGACGGAGACAACCCCGTCATCCTTGCCAGTGATTGGCTAAAGAAATGGAGTCATCCTTGCCAGTGATTGGCTAAACAAATGGCGTCACTTAGAACTAAAGTAAAATCTGGAAGTTTCCAAGGAGACAATCCAGTTATCCCTGCCAGTGATTGGTTAAAGAAATGGCATCACTTAGAACTAAAGTAAAATCTGGAAAGTTCCAGAAAAGGTTTCCGCCCTTCTGAAAAGAGAAAAGCACGTATCCCGGCTCTTCTCCTGGCGGTCGTGACCGGATATGACATGGGCGACAGCATGAGTACCATGTTACAGGCTGAAGAGGGGGCTGACGCAAGTGCAGGAGGAAGAAGATGAAGAAACTGAACGTGAGCCCTTGGCAGGTTGTGCCTGGACCTCTCACCATTCACAGTTTGATCACTGTTTCCCGGCACTTGGAGTTTAAAGCACACTTGATTCTTGTCTCTTTTACATACTTCTTATTTGGATTAACTAGGTTTATCATACTGTCACATTTTTAAAGATTTGTATATTTGTATTGTATATATATGGGTGACCATATGCGTGCAGTGCTTGAAGCAGCCAGAAGACAGCATCGGGATTTGCCCTTCTCTACCCACATAGGCATTTCCCTAGTTTCTTGTAGCTGGTTGTAGACAAGTGAGTATTGATTTGTTGGCCAGTAGGATAGAAAGAAATACTGGAACAGTATTACTAGCATTAAAGCTTCCCAATAGGCCCATCTGGTCCTCTGCTGATGGTGCTGTTTTAGAAAGGCATAGGACACTGAGAAGGAGGAACCTCAGTAGAGAAAGGGGCCACTGGAGTCCCGCGTTGAGCTTCTTACAGCCTGTCTCTGCTTCTTGCTCTTCTACAAGGGGAGGAAGTAGAGTTCCACCTGCGCATTTCTGCCACCATGAAGACACCTGCCCCTAGGACTTTCTGTGGTAGGCTGTGTCTCATCAAACTGCAAGCCAAAATGAGCCCTTTCTCAAACAAAAACAAAACAAAACAACAACAAAATCCCCCAAAACAGCATCTGTTGCTTATTTGACTATCATTATTAGGCAACTTTACTCAGAATGCAACACCTGAACTCACAGGGCACCTTTGACTTTTCAGTTTCTAGCTCTCCTTTCGAATACTGGCCCAAGACCTATGACTGCTTTCCCTGACACTGGGCAATTTCTCTTTGTTTCTGAGGAGAGAGTCATATACCTAACTCACACCACAGATGCTTGTAGACCTGCCTTCTGAGCCAGTCTACCTCCCTGACCTCTAACTCTGAAAGCATGACTTCTTTCCTCTCCCTCCTCTTGCAGCTTCTGAGCGTTCTGATTGCCTGTCCTGTTGTTTTTCTCAAACTCCAGTTTCCTTCTGAGTCTATTTTTAAGCACTGTTTCAGCTATTCATTTATTTATTGTTGTGATGGAGGGGTAGGCTGGTGTGTGGTGGTCCAAGTGAAAGACCCTCGGTTTCAAGGGCACTTGGAGATACCCCCAGCCTCAATAAACCAGGCCAGCAGATGCAATAAGCAAGAGGCTTCTTTATTGATCACAAGTGCTTGTGAGCGACACAGCAGCTCCCGCTAGCTGTGCACACCCCGAGCAAGCTCTCCATCATTTATAGGATTTTACAGGTTACATAATGGGGGAGCCTAGCAACAGCAATTTCATTGGTTCTTTAAATGGCGGGCTTAGGTCATCCTGGGGATAGCATGGGGAAGTGTAGCAACAGCAATTCGACAGTTTTGATAAGGTATCCTAGGGGGCTGTATGCTTTCTCATGACCAGATGCAACCCACAGATATCCTGTCCTGGTGCCAGCTGAACTTTGGGACTTTTCCATCTGCAGCTCAGCTATGTTTAGTCAATTCTAGCAGGGCACATGGGTACGGGGTGGAGGGGGTCTTTCATTTAGCAATTTGTCAGAAAGGGACTAGAAGGTTAATAAATGAGGATTAACTGGTTCTTAGGCTGAGAGCATAGAAGATAGCAGAAAGCTTTTGACTTTATCTCAAGGTAAAACTCAGATACTGACTGTTGTCCTTTACAACCTCCACTTATCAGAGCTCATCAATTAAACCATTGTATTTGTCCACTGTCTCCTGGTACCTCCAGGTGTAAACTGGAGTCCCATGCCTCTCCTCTGGTGGCGCCAGTTGTCCATAACGGAGACAGTGTCTAACCCAAAGGTCACGTATCTCTGTCTCCTAATGGTTAACTCAGTTCACATCTGTCGCTTATCGGGGATGGCCAGGACATCACTCTCAATTTGTAGGGAGGAGCTCTGGCCTTGTAAATTAAACAGCCAGTTGTAAAATGACCTAAGCTTCCCAAACATCTGAGGAAATAGCTCACTGTGAATGAATGATCCTTGATCTGCTGAGAAAGCTGCTGACAGTCTGTTCTCATTCTCCTCTACATTCTTATTTTTGGAATCTATATTTTTATTTTCTTATTCTTGGACTCTTCACAAGGACCCTCTGAGTCAGTTCTCTTCTTCTAGATTCTAAGTCTCTAAGATCAAATTCAAGCTATCAGGCGTGGCATCAGGAGCACTTACCTGCTGAGTCATCGTATAGACCCTCGGTTTTAGAATTCTTTTAACTATGAGTCTAAGACCCAGAAAAACGAGACCCCGCATCCCCTGATAACAATGGTCAAACCTCTTCATGCCTTCTTTTTCCAATGTAAGGCTTATTTATGTCTGTGGGCTGGGGGAAGTTACCTTTTTCCAACTTAAATCCTGGCCAAATACCAACAGAGTTCCCATCACCCCGACTCCACCCAAGACTCTTAAACTATATGTAAGGAAACTCTTACATATTATCAAGAGTTTATTCTGCTAAAGTCTGTAGATGTGTGTGTGTGTGGGGGGGTGACACCATGCACACATACACCTGAGGGGACGGTATGCATGTATGCTCTTAATCTGGAAATGCTTAGAATATGTGCTTAACATGCTCAAGTAGCTGGATTAAATACTCAACAAGAAAAAATGGATTCTTTAGTGAGACAGTGACTTTCTTCATTACAAATAATTTCTCATTGAGGACTCCCTCCAACCTAGCAGAAAGAGCATATTTGCACCATGGAAACCACCAAGCATCCCTCTGTGGACTGATTTATTCAAACAAGTCTTTTTTAGCCCCGAGTCTGACTCACATCTATCTGTCTGTCTGTCTACCTATCTATTATCTATCTACCTATGTATGTATGTTCTTTCTATCTATCTATCTATCTATCACCAATGTATCCTAAAGCCTTATGTTCTGCAGCCTCCAGGAACCTCGTACCTCTCACTACTCTCTGGGACGTGAATCCTCGGGAATGAATCCTCCTGGGACAGTGTGATTTCCTCCAAGTGTCAGGAAATGGTAACTACTGAGATGATACTATCAAAGTGAAAATAAATGCAGGATGATGGAAAGAAGAGCAAAACCACTTTCTAAAGGTTTTTATACATGGGGTGAATTGCTACACAAAAATCACTACCAGTGACTTGCACAAGCCGACAGAACTGCCTAGTTGCAGACCTATCATAGTCCCTGTTGCCTTGAGCTGGATTCTGGCATAGGCTTAGTAAACACACATCCACCTGGAGTTGTCCGGTTCCTGCTTATCTTTCTCCTAAGAACGAGAAGCAGCTGTGTTAACATCCTTTCTAACAAAACCCTCAGTTCTCATTAATGTTGGCGGCTGACACGGGTTTCCAAACCAAGCCAGTGTCACTTGAGAATCCATCCGACCCTGGAACAAACCTGCTTTTGTGTCTGTGACTTCTTGATTTAAGGAGCTAATTTCAGAGTGGAAATTTTGTATCTGCCTTTGTTCCCAAGGCCAGTTGCCACCCAGAGGCAGCTTAAACGTAGCTGAGATTATCTATAGTATTTAGTGGTCAACCTTGAAGAGTAAAATATTAACCCTTTATTTTTGCAGAGTTAGAATGACTTAGCAATTTTTCTTTCTAACTGCAAACAGAGACCAAGGGCCACCCCCCCTCCAGCCTTGAACATTGTGGGTGTGGCTTCTCCCTAATGGGACTTTTCCTGCTTCTCTCAGAAGAACTCCCACTAAGGTATAAAATAAAGCACTTGGGTCTCTTTCCCGCTTTAGGAGCAGAGAATTTTCCAGTGAGGTAAGTACTGACAGAATCGTTTTTCCTACAGGTCCTGCCTTTTAGCTGCTAAGAAAACTACTTTAGCTTCACGTCCTTCATAAGGGAAGGAGCGGTTTACACTCACGCCGTGCTTTCTTGTGCACGTGCCTAGAAAGGCAAAAAGTCCTTCATCCCGTTTGCTTGACAACAGATTTCCAGAAATGTTAAAAAAGAAGATTATAGAAAATGAGGAAATGGGAGTCTAATAGTCTGAGAAATTTTATTAGCCTTATTACCGGCCCTTACATTTCTGTGACTCCCTCACAAGATGTAGCTAGGCACGGTGGACTGAAGCCTTGTTCCTACACTTGGGCAACATAGAGGATGCCAGAGGAAAACACTGGCCGCCAAGTTACAGACCTCTGCTTGCATCTCCTGAGGCAACCGGCCTTGTTCTCTTCTTGCTTTTTACCCTGCATTCCTGGAGCTGCTGTCTCTTTTCCTACTGACAGAGGGGGAGGGACGAGGACAGGGCCCGCGGTAATACTTGGGCCCTTAAAATTAAAAAATGTTTAATTTAATCTTCGATAATTTCATATGCGTATTTGTAACCCGGCCTGGTCATGCGCATCCATTCTCCCCCCCCCCCTCGGCCCCCCGGCCCCACTTTCCTATCCCGCTTTTATATCTTTTTGTTTTGGTTTGGTGAGTGATCTACTGGGTTTAAGCAGAAAGCCCCTAGTAGGTGGCCTCCCCTCCTTGAGCCCCTCCCAGTTAGGACACTTGGCAGAATTAGTCCTGGGCAGGACCTTCGCTGGAGCACAGCAGTTGTGACTTCATGAGAGCCACTTCCGTGTTATGCTCCGAAGACAGCGATGCATGCCTCTCGGCTCGCTGGTCTTTCTTTTTTTTTTTTTTTTTTTTTTTCCTGCTTTGAAGGCTTTTAAGCATGGGAAAATTTTCACCTAACCGTGGGATTTTCTCTGTTGTGGGAGATACTTTGTTTCTTTTGCTATTGGGGTTTGGCAAAGTTTGGAGCTCCTAGGGTTTAGGAGAATTTAAATAAACAAAGTTTTGATCCCTTGCTTGCTTAATGGCTTAGGAAATTCCGGATCTGGGTGGCCGTTTTCTCTAAACCTTAACCTTTATCTTAATCACGTCTCCTAGTCTCATTATGAGAACACATAGAGCATAGCATTTCACAACAATCGCTGCCCTCTGCATGTGCAGTTTAGATTCGTCTTTAAAGGGTTTGTTGTATTTATTTGTGTGTGAGCGTGCCTGTGACTGTGGGTGGGAGCCTAGAAGAAGGCATTAGATCCCTCCAAGCTGGAGCTGGAGGTGTTTTGTGGAACACCTGTCTCATTGTGTAGGTGATGGCATGAACCACTATGGCTACTACCAATGAGGGGTGCTTCTTTCATCCCCCCCAGCCATAGGTGCCTTGTGCAACATGAATGGAACCCAGATTTTTCACCTTTAACATACAAGACACACTCTTGAGATTTCCTATGATTTTAAAACGTGAATGCTACTTGCAAACTATGTATGCAGGGAAATTCCAAGATGTTAGTGTCAAATGAATAGTGTGTGAATGTCAAGTTTTCCGCATCATTTTATCTGTAGAGATGCCAGTGTCTGTAGTAGGAGCTGTGAGCTGCATTCCGCCCAGCTCACAGCCACCTGGTTAGCATATGCCCTGAAATAATTACACGAAAACTGTGTTCTTTTAAACACTGCCTGGCCTGTTATCTGTAGCCTCTTATTGGCTAATTTTCACATCTCGATTAACCCATTTTTAATAATCTGTGTAGCACCACTCGATGGTGTCTTACCAGGAAGGAATCTAGTCTACGTACGTCTGGGGTCGGAGAATCATGGCAACTGCCTGACTGGGCTTTCTTTCTCCCAGAATTCTGTTTAGTCTACTCTGCCTACCTAATTTTCTGTCCTATTAAAGGGCCAATGCAGTCTCTTTATTTAACCAATGAAATTAACACAGAACAGAAGACTCTCCACCATCAAGTGTCTCTTCTAGTAATTGAACGAGGATGGAAATGACAAGCTGCCCGTTCCTCACCAGACACTAGACAAACCAGTCATGTTAACCTCAATATAAAGCTACCGTAGGAACTGCCCTTCTTCTAGGTTGTGAAGTAAAACTCAGTGTAGACGTGGGAAATCTAGCTGCGGTGGAAAAAGAATCCCCTCCCACAGTGGGAAGAGTTAGCCTTTGGCTCCAGCCAGAGTGAAGTTGAGTTAGACCTTCTGAACAAAGCTTCACAGGAGCCAAAAGACTAGGGAGAGACCTTGTTCTGTCCCCTTCCCCTCGTCAGTGATGTCTCCAGGTTTCAAGGCTTGCTAGATCCCAGGCTCCGCAAATGTGGGCTTGAGGCTGCTCTGTTTATGTCCTCCAAGTGTGGGCTTGGGAGTAGTTTGGTGCAATTTCAAGATGGTAGTCCTTGGAGGGTGAAAATTTGGATCAAAAGTCTGACTGGGATTCCTAGAAGACTTTAGGAGAACAAATAGATAATTCTTCTTCTGTACTAATTTTTCTTCTTCAACAATACAGTTTTTCTGTACTTTTTTATTATTAACCATAATTTCAAGGTACATTTAGCTTCTGTACATTAATTCATTCGTTCATTTATTTGTACTTAGTGACTCCGAGGAGCTACTACCATGGCGGGAAAGCCTGTGTTCCATTATGATGAGTCCCGGGGTAGAATGGAGTCTATCCGGTGGCTCTTGGCTGCAGCTGGAGTAGAGGTAAGGTTTGCATTCTCAGATGGAACTAAAACTGATTGTGTTGGATGTTTTCCTAAGATATTTCCTGTTGCACGATGCCTAAGAACTGTGCCCTGGGATTAAGGCATACCTTTAACCCCAGCAGTCTAGGCAGGAGGATTGCAAGTTCAGTGTAGGCCATGCTCTAGAATGTGACCCTGCAGAATAAACACATACTCGTACCTTAAATTAGGATTATCAGTTTTAAAGACACACATGAACAGATATAACATTACAAACCTTGAGACTGTTTTCTTAACACAGCACAGACAGTCAACAACTCCAAGGCCTTAGTCAAAACATGTATACCACGTTTGCATGGAGACAGAGTGGGAAAGAAAACCCTAACTGCACAGGCATGTGATTTTCTTTTATTTATAATTTTTTGTATAATAACGTTTAAAATAAGAAATAAAAATAAAAAAGTGTTCTTTGTTGGTATTTTACTCTTTTGGACTCTAGACATTTTGGGGGCCAACCACTGAGCTCCCAAATAAATCACACACAGAGTCTTATTCTTAGTTAGGAATGCCTGGCCTCAGCTTGGCTTGTATCTTTCTAGCTTTTCTTAAGTCATCCTATTTTTGGCCTTGGGACTTTTATCTTTCTCTGTTCCTTTATACCTTTTCTTTCCTTCCTACTCCATTTCTGGCTGAATGACTGGCCCCTGATGTCCTGTCCTTCTTTTCTTCTTCCTTGCTCCCTCCCTTCCTCATTTCTCCTTCTCTTTATCATCTCTGCCTGCCCGCCCTACCTGTCTTGCTCCTGCCTCTCTGTTGGCCAATCAGATCCTTATTAGGACCATCAGGTGTTTTAGATGGGCAAAGAATCACAGCTTCACAGAGTTAAACAAATGCAGCATAAACAGAAGTCACAGCTTAAAATAACATTCACCAACAAACAAGAAGTATTTCATGGCATATATATATATGAATTAGAATTATGAATATTGAATATTTGAGTAATTATTGTTTCAGATGTGATCATGTCTTTGTGGGAGGTTTCTCCCCTGAAAGAGTTCTTGCACAGTAGAGAACACATTGAAGTAGAGACAAAATACATTGTATCTGATGTTTGGACTGTGTATTTTGAGAGAACTGCTCAGGGCACCCTAAGAACTAAGAGAAGGGTCCCAAGGAACAACACTAATTGTAGTTATTATCACTCTATAGCAAAAGAATTAATGTGTCAAATTTTAACAAATGAAAGTAAAGTGAAAATGCAAACCCGAGTTGAGAAGCAGGCAGGAGTAGACAGCAATAGACTGCTTCTTCTTGCTTCTTCAGGGTCGGGGAACATGTGTACCTGTATAGACATTCTCTTCTTTGTTTTTCATTTGTTTGTATTTTTGTTTTTTGGTTTATCGAGACAGAATTTCTCTGGGTAACAGCCCTAGCTGTCCTAGAACTAGTTCCGTACACCAAGCTAGTCTTAAACTCACAGATACCCACCTGCTTCTGTCTCCCAAGTACTTAAAGACCTGAGCCACCACTACCCTCTAACATTATTTTCTTGTGCACCTAGTAAGTGCCAGGTTCTTTTAAGTCATGAGGATGCACAGTGAGGAAGACAGTTAGTTGGCTCCACCATTCAGCATCCTAAGTATCTGTGGGACTGCAAAGAATTAAAAAATAAAAGGTGGCCCATTGTTTGTGAGAGGGTTTTGTTTAATGGCTCTCACTCACTGTGCAGATTGGGCTGACCTCGAATTCCAGCAATTTTCCCATTTTGGGTTCCTGAATACAGGCATACATTACCATGTGTAATCTTAAAGGGAAGAATTAAATGAATGGTGGACCATCTAGAACAATCAAGCATTTCACAGTTTTAAAAGCAAACGGACGAAATTTTTAAGAGGTGTTGGTTCTTTTCTGTATGGCCCTGTTGAGTGCTGCCCTCCAGAGGCATCACTGAGTAAAACACTTCTCAGTCAGATGGCTGCTATCTGGGAGGGATTTCCTTGAGTGGAAATTGCAGACTCAGATTTGGTCCTTGAACAGAAGCTCGGAAGAATGACTCAGGGTTGAGGCAGTGTCCTGAGAGAGAGACTTGCGGTGCTTCCCCAGCCTCCTGGAGCCTTGTTTCCCTAACCCTGAAGATTGCACTTCACCCTTGGCCCTGGCATGCCTGGGACTTCAGCTTGATCCTTTTTGGTTCCAGAGAAAGCACTTCATATGTATAGATGGAGTGCCTGTCCACCCTGTGTTCTTTCCATGAGGAATCTGCTTTCCCACCACTCAGATGTCTGCCTTACGGTTCAGCCTCTGCAGG